TTAAAAAAAGTACTTCAGAAAGAATAAGATTTTAAGTGATCTTTTAACATAAATACCCATCTTACACTGCTTAGTATTCTGTCTTTATAACTGGAGACATTAAAGTGGGAATTGATATGCTGGCATTTGAAGCCATAATGCTTGAAAATCCAGGTTCTTAAAACTAAAAGCTAAGAAGTAGCTAAGCTTCTACCCATTCAGTTTTAAGACGTATACCTTCCCAGCATCAGTGTATGGTAAGTTTGGTTCTTATTTACACATCTTGACGCTGTAGGGAGAGCTAAGGTATTTAAGGCTACAGCTATACTTATTTTAATGCCTTCTTGTACTTAGTAAACATTGCAAAGACTTGTTCTAGTACACATGGGAATGATTCTTGGTGTTATGTATGTGTTGCGTACAAAGCAAATGTATAATACTTTCTTGTTATATATAAAACACCTTGGCTAACTAGATGGTAAAAATCACATGTTCATAACAATTCATCCATTAACAAGACCGAATCTGTTTCACATGCTTCATTTTAGTAATGGCTGTGTTGTTTATGCTAGTATTAAATCAACATTAGCAAAATAATTATGATAAGAAGCACAAGTGGCACCAGAGAGGTGATGCTGCCCAGTGGGATTAAGCTACTGGACATCTCCTTGTGAGCACCCAGGATGTGAACAGATTCTAAAAGGGAACGTTTCTACTGTGCACTACAGAGAGGTCTAGAAACTTAGAAAAAAATGTTCTGTTCCTTAGGCAAATAAATAATGTTTGTGAAAAGAAACATCTTGCCCTATTGAAATGTTTAGCACAGTATTAGTGTTTTACGTTTCTGGGGGAAACATGATGTTTTTCTTCGCTTCTCTGTAATAATGCTTGTCAAGGCCTAATCTCTACTTTTCCAGGAGGAATTAGAAGTCAACTATGAAAAGCATTCTTCCCCCACCCCAATTAAAATAAAACACACCCTCAGTGGAAATAATTGAAGGCAGTATTTTTGTCTTGTGGGACTTTGTCACATAAGCAGACTAGCACTTGTTTGTTTATGTGGGTTTATGCTATTGCCAGAAAACCTTGATAAAAATACAGGAATGCACTGGAGGTTTGCACAAACATGCTTTTATTCTACCTAGTTTTACGCATTTATTGAGTTGTATTTTCTAGCCATTGAACTGCTCATAGAAAAGCGGGACTCCAGAGAAATTGTAAAGTGGCTTTCTTCACCATGGGGGCTATATAACTCTCCTTTCTTTCTATGAAATAATAATCACTGCAATATTCTAGGAAGGATTAACATTTGTATCTGGGGTATGCCTGCTCTTCAGTCTTGAAGTTAAATATGATTCCCAGAGAAATTCTGCATCCTTGATTGCATTCAGCATGCTCCATAAGAGCATGGAATGAATTAAAAATGACTGGAGCTTGAAGCAATGAATCCTTTTGCCCTCTCTGTCTGCATTATGCAGACTGGTTGGTTTCTCTCAGTCTCTGTTCTTGGATTTCCCCAACTGTGACTCTACTCCAACTTTTAGCATGTAGTTAAGGCTCTGCTGCCAAGGGAATGAAAAACTCCTTCAGAAGAGATTGGGAGCAGAGCCTAACCTATGTGTGCTGAATCTTTCTTGAAGGAGTTTTTTTCCTTTGACTAGAGAAGAAAGGAACTGTATGACTTAGAAAATGAAGATAAGCACATATAGTGTGGGTATGATGGGAGTTGAACTTTTCCTGCTTCATCAGAACGTCCAAGTAATTTTTGATTATGGTATTTCAGTAATCAAGATGCTGGCCTCGTTTCATTCCTGAAAAACGCCTGCTCTCCTTCCCAAGGGAGCTTTCCATAGTTAGGGGGTGACCCATCTCTTTCCC